GTTGACATAACGTAATCATATATTCACGTCACGGAATGGAGTTTTGACATAATGTAATAAAGTATTGATATAATATAAAGATATGTTCACATTATGTTATACACATTTTACACCACGTAATAAAGCACTGACATAAAGGTAAGATGTGTTCACCTCACATCATGATGCCCTCGCCGTAAAATAAAGATAAATCCATATCACGTAATAATGCTTTGATATAATAGAAATATACACTCTCAAAAAGGAATGGACTTTTGACTTAATGTAATGATAAGTTTAATTATAAAACACAATTTACTTGACGTAATACAATTTTGACCTCACATATTAAAGAAATGAAATGATGTAAAGAAAAATTCATTTCACGCAATAAAGTTTTAACACAATGTAAACACATTATCACTTCACATAATGAATTTTTTACTTCAAGTTATGAAGTGCTGACATAATGAAAGGATGTATTTACTTCCTGTAATGCAGCATTGACATGATGTTAAGATATATTTACATCATCTCATAAAAAATGGACATAACGTAAAGATATGTTCACATCACGTAATGGTAAATTGACATAATAAATGCATAGTTGTATGCTATAAGGCAGTGATGGCGTTCCATAAAAAACGACGTAGACGTCGTTCCATTTCATCCCAAACGTGCTCGATTGGCGACAAATCGGGAGATACAGCTGGCCAAGGCAAGACATCGACATGCTGTTGAACTAAAACTCTCTGACGTGCAACATGTGGCCTTGCGTTGTCTTAATTGTTGTAGAGTGGTGTGATTTGCTGCCCCTGTATGAAGGGTATCACATGGCGCTGAATAAATTCGTCTCGATAGCGCATGCCAGTGAGATTTCCATCTACAATTTGTAGAGGGGTCCTTCCACGTGCTGTGATTCCACCCCACACCATAACGCTACCTCCATCGAATTGTCGCCGTTGCACAACACAAGCGTCCTGGTACCGCTTCCCTATGCGACGATACACTCTACAACGGCCGTTACTGCTATCCAAATGAAATCTGGACTCTTTTGTGAATAGAACATAGGCCAAGTCCTCTAGTCTGAATCTCAAATGTCGTCTGCACCATGCTAGTCTAGCGATACGATGACGTTGAAGCAGTATTGGACGTCTTGGTCTGATGTTGCGCTCGCGCAGACGGTTACGCACAGTTCTTGGACTGATTGGTCGAAGTCCAGGAATGCTTCTACCAGTCAAACTTGCTGTCTGACACCGATTTCTCAGGCGCACAAGTCTAATGTGGTTGTCCTGTCGACGCGACGTCACGCGAGGACGCCCAGAACGTGGTCGATCCTGATTGTAACCAGTCTGTCGAAAACGTGTCCATAGTGATTGAATAGTGTTCCGATGAACTCCAAAGTGTATCGCAATGATATTTTGTGCCATTCCAGCTTGAAGCATCCAAACAGCAACATTACATTGGTTTTCGAGGAGTCTTGGCATGACTAGAGGCTAAATTTTGTCAAAACTAAAGTGCTTTTCTTAACGAATAGAGTCCAAATACAGTAAACCTTATACTAGGCCTTTCAACTAATTTTTCAAGTTGCACATATGTTAAAAAACATTTCAGAGACTGATTTATAGGTACATAAAATTATCAAAAAAGATAACTTATGCACGCCTTTAATTAAATTATTAAAAATTTTAATTATTTGTAAATGACTACTTCGATGTTGTGTTTTAAGGACAGGTAACTCAGGTGTGAAAACTGACCAGCTAAGTGCCGATTTATGAGTTATCGTTTACAGGAATGACATATAGGCTGCTTCAGAACTGGTATTGATATGTACACAAAAGGGTAACCGGTTCCTTACATTGCATGTTTTGTTACACAAAAGTGTTGACCAAGAGAAAGAGAATGTCTTCACTCTACCTGAAATAACAGGGTCAAATGAATGAGGAACAGACTATATTCAATATTTTTAACTCTCTTTGACGATTGTTATGAAGAAAACATAATGTCATGTTTTTTGTTTTCGCGCTTTTGCGCTTCCTATATGAACATATATATTTTTACGAGTAAATGCAGCAATTGATTATCTTACTTGTGTTACTAAGCACGAAGAAGAAAGACTGAATACAAAAATTAAATTAGGTTAAGACTTCGAAGGAGGGTAGACTTCATTTTTTATTTTAATTAAAAATTTTACTTATATGTAATTTAACGGTGTCTGCAACTTTATAGTAAATAAGTTTAACATTAGTGCTAAATTTTAAAACCACTGGATTCTACTGACAGCAGAGAAACACTTGGGAAATGCTAAAAACTGACCTGTCTATAAACAGTTCGATACCTAGGACCTGCTCTAAACAAGATTCAGCAACGAGTTATCGTTAATAACAGCGAACCCTAGCGGCAGTTGAAAGGCCTACTTATGGGGTCATAACAGTATTACACTTTGGTTCACGTCAAATCATGGCTGACGGAAAATAATCCCGGAATCTTCCCTTCCGATTCGGGCATTTTGATACGAGACTGGAGCTGAATTTTTTTATGAGATGAAAAACAACATGTAAACTTCCTGTATTGACCAGATTTATTAAAATTTAGGGCGTGCTGATTTTTCTGTATACTGTCAAGAGTGGGGAGTGATTAGGCCCTGGACTCGATTTTCAAGCACCTGCTCGACTTCGACCGAAACAAACTTGCGTGCCTTGCTGGATGGCTATGTATTTTTTGGTACTAAAATCTTTATAAAGAATGGTTTTACAAGATCTGAAAAGGAAACTTCTCAGAAGTTTGTTTTGAATTAGTTACATCTACTCAAACTTGCGCATTTTTGGTAAGAATATATAGCAGAAATTAATACTGTTGTGACACCTGCATTATACAGTTCTCTCTCCAAACAATTTTGGCCAGTAAAACTTGTGCATACGAACACGTCAATAAACAACTTGTGCTCACTAACCATGAAAAGCCCGTGCATCAGAGCCGGATACTATCCGATATTGTTAAAAAACGCCACATTTATCGATTGTTTGTACCATAGTTAGGTGTGATTTCTTTTGTTAAAAGTGTGCGTTTTCTGTACATAACCCACACTTTTCTCTAACTCCGCCCATCGAACCGGGACAAAAGAACTATACAGTCATGCACAATTTTTAAATGAAACAACTGGGCTTGTTATGCCAAATTCAGGCGAGTAAAAAATATCAATTGTGGAGAGCATTGTGTAATAATTAACTATTTAAAACGGACATCAATACTTTAACTTTAGTTTAAAAAAAACTTCAGAAATCGCTTGATTTAAAAAAAAAAATCTAAGTGTCATGACCAGGGTGACGTTAGCTTAGTAAATTCCAATATCGTTCTTTTGATAACCAACAAAGGAAACACAGTACAAACATGAAGTAAAAACAAAAGTGTACACTACTGTACGTAAATAAAGTTTTCGATTGCGGATCTAGCCGATCAAAGATCTAATTTTCATTAAATTGAAATATACATAACCTCTAACAAACATTTCAATCAACGTGCACTGTGCACGACAAAGTATGTATCGGGTTAAAAAAAATTATTTAAACCATGTTCAAAATAAATTTACATTATTTAATTTTGACGATAGAAATTTATGAGAAAAAAAAATCAAATCAACACATCTCATTGAAACCAAACTCGTTAATTTTTCAATTACATAAATCAGACAAACTTTTTAAACGGACTTAAGATATGTTGAACTTTTATGTCGCCTGCATGGTGCAGCGGTTAAAGCGCCTGCCCTAGGGTCACGAAGTAAGGAGTCGAATCCCATTGTGGGATGTGGAGACCATACAAACATAGGTCCCGTGTTGCAGAAGGTGTTGCCGCGAAGAAGATCCCTTACTGCCGAGTAAAGGACAAAATTTGTAGCTCTCCACCGGCATGACGTGGCGTCTCCACATGAGTGAAAAAATTCTTGAGGAGAACGTTAAACAACATACAATCAATTTTTGAAAAGTATTTTATACAAATCACTTACCCTGTACTCGATGGAGGTGGTCGGAAGGACACGAATTAGCGTAAAAGCTTATAAAATCCACATGTATAATTGATACCAAGCATTAATGTTTCAATCACACGAACCAGTCAGACCAATTCTTAAGCTGACTTACAAATGAATGATTTTTGAAAACTATGGTACAAGTCATTTACCCCATATCATACTGTTGATTATGTGCGGATACCCGATGGGCGTGGTCATAATGACAACTCGGGAACTACGCTCCCTCGTGTCATTATGACCACGCCCATCGAGTGGTATGATATGGGGTAACTACTACTTACACTTAACTAAAATAAGCAATAAATATAGAAAAAAGTTACTAAATTTTATCATGCACCGTTTCTTTTTTCCGCTAGTATATAAAACCATAACGCTACAGATCTGCAGCTATAATCTATATAGCCCCACCCTAGCACTAGAACCCCTGACCCAGGGGCCATGAAATTCACAATTTTAGAAGAGGCAATCATTTTCAACTCAACTATGCACTTGGTTAGTTTATTTAATGCCCAGGAGCAGAAAAGAAGAATTTCAAAGAAATAAAAAATTTTCACTATATAATCTATTTAGCCCCGCCCTAGTACTAGAACCCCTGACCATGGGGCCATGAATTTCACAATTTTGGTAGAGGACTCAATGCTTATTACAATCATGCCAACAGTTTGACTGCTTGATGTCCAGGAGTGAAGAAAAAGATTTTTAAAGATTGCATTAATTTTGGTGGTTTTAGCCCCACCCCTTAGGCCCCAGGGAGGCTGGGACAATAAAATTCACAATTATTGTTCTCCTTCACCCATAGATGCTGTACTATACCAATTTGGTTGAAATTGGTCCAGTGGTTTCACAGAAGCTTAAAATGTTCAAAAGTTTACTACTGACATACGATGACATGTGAAAACAGATAGTAATAGGTCACCTGGGTGATTCAGGTGACTTAAAAAGTAAAGAAAAAGATCATTTTTTCTATAATTATAAAGAAACTTCCCCAAGCATATTCAATTTAATCAAGGAATTTATTTACATGATGGGTTAATTACAAGCAGACTCCATTGAAAATTACTCCCAGCATTCTTATGAAAACATTCATGAAAGTTAATTAATGGTTTCAACCATGTATTGTACATTAAGAAAATTCATATAGATATTTTTTTTTTTAAAATTTCTTGTTGCATTTATACATGCTCATAACTATCAGGGTACATCTTGGAGTAATTTGGCTCATACAGATATCACTGTGTAGTTTTTGCATAATAGCACGGAAAGATTGAACATAAGTACAGCATATAGGTATATAATTCTAATGGATATGTCTTTTTTCTTCTGTTTAACCATTACATAACAAACACTTTCTCTGCCTCGTCTAGGTGGAAAATCTCTCTGGTCCTTGGACAAACCACCCTTCCCTCATTTAAGCGGGCTAAATCAGAGAGCGACTGAAATAGAGTAAATTAAAACTTATTAACAAGTAAACTGAAACAGAGAGGGTCATAGAAAAATGACACCCATATTTAATGCAATATCGCAAATCTCGCTTCAAAGTATACACTCCGGCCGAAATAGCATTGTGCTGAGTGATAATACTGTTGGATTTGACAATTAAACAATTTGAATCACAGATTTCGTTTTATAAAACAAGCATTTTAATTGGTTAATTAGGACCCGCCCACTCTCGTGCGGTGTCCTTTGCTTGTATAAAGTTGGAAAGCGTCCAACGGCTTGGCGAATAGCCATGTTTGATTGTCGGAAAGCGTTGGAAAAAAAACAAAAACAAACTACATGTATAAAATCATTTTTTAGCATGTGATATATTCCTTACGCAGACGATACATGAATTCGATGGCGCACACTATTTTCATTTCATCCTACATGTATTTCTGCCGATTTCCTATTTACGGCATTTTACACTTTAGGTGTTTTTTCTGTGCGATTTTTCGGTGCATTTAAAAAAAAAAATCTTCATATTTTAGTCACAAGTGAGTTTTTCATTGAGTTGGCAAACACAAGCAAATTTAAAACGGGGGTTGAAATAACGACCACTATTGAAATAATTATATCAATAGTGGTTGAGGGTGCATTTCAATAACAAACATAGTAAGTAACCACTATTGAAATACTACCACGTTTGTAATAATTATATCAATAGTGGTTGAGAGTGCATTTCAATAACTTTAGATGATAACCACTATTGAATGCAACCACTATTGAAATAATAATTTCAATAGTGGGTGAGAGTGCATTTCAATAATGACCACAGGTTTCAACCACTATTGAAATACGACCACTGTTGTAAGAATTATTTCAATAGTGGGCGAGAAAGCATTTCAATAACATACATAGTATGTAACCACTATCGAAATACGACCACTATTGAAATTAACAGTTGAATAGTTGATGAGAGTTCATTTCAATACCAAACCATAGGTTACAATCACTACTGAAATAATGTTCACATTTGAAAAAAAAAAGTTTTCAATAGTATTGAAATAATGATTTCAAAAGTGATTTACATAATTATGTCGATAGTTGCTGATAATTAATACTAAAACCACATTGCAAGACTTATTAAAATAACTTAACTATTAAAAATTACAAGGATTAATAATGGTTCTTCATGTTCTCCAGCATTTTTAATTCACTTATTATGTTCCCCAAACGAAGTTGGGGAACATATTGTTTTTACTCTGTTTCTTATTAAGGTCTTCCGTCTTCAGCGGAAGACCTTCTTGTTATTCGTTTGTTTCTTTTCCACTGTTTTTAAGGTCTTCCGTCTTCAGCGGAAGACCTTCTTGTTATTCTTAGGTTTCTTTCCACTTTTATTATTCTTTTTTTTTCTTACCGATTTTGGGCCCGCGATTTCTCAAAAACGGCTCGATGGATTTTCATGAAACTTTCAGGACTTATGTTACATTACTTGAACCTTATGCATTTTTTTCTGATTTGATGACGTCACTTCCGGTTTGGAGATATTGCCGATTTTATGATTTTTGAAGGGTCAATTTGTCCGCAGACTTTCTCAATAATGGCTCAAGATAGAAACATGAAACTTTCAGGTATGATAGACCAAAGTCTGTAGATATGTATAACGTATTGCATTTTAATCAGAAGGGCCGCACGTCGGCGCTCGCTATGGCCCGAAAATAGACGTATCACGAATTTCAAAATTTGTAACACTTTTTCGACTTTGTCTCTTGACGAGTAGACATTGGCTTTACTATCCGTATTTGTAGTATAGGCAATCCCATGAACAATTTAGATTTATACTAAATTCTTTTTATCAAAAAATTCTTCTTCCGTCATTTCGATTCGGCGAGATTCAGCATGAGCTTGTTTATAACATTTGCATACATGTTGAATTATAGGTCAGTCAGTATAATACAAAGTGTCCGTGTATTCATTGATTTTTCTATAAAAACGAAAACGAAACAACTTTTGTTACCATGTTTTAACTCAATGAATTAGCTTGCAATGTGGTTTTTGTATTGAAATCATTGTCAGCAACTGCATGTATTAATTATTTTAATATCCATTAAAATCATTGTTTAAAGCACTATTGAAATCATTTTTCCAATCACTTTTGAAATCTATATTTTAATCAATTAAACAATTTCGCCTCAGTTGCCCTCTAAGTTGGTCCTTGTAGCTATAAAATTCCTTAAGTAGGTCACTGTGACAAACTTTTTGATTGAAATTAGTCCAGGTAGGACAAATTATACAAAGTCACAATGCACTCAATAAAAAGATATTGCATACTTACGTTGTAACCATATACATGCCCATTAGGTAATGCCATTGGAGGATTGTTTTCATTAAGTGGAAGGCCCGATATTGAACAGATCAATTTTGAATTGGCACAATGTGCATAGGGTAGGCGTTTTCCTAGCTTGTTCAAATTGGCACTACACACAGGACAGTCTGCATTTCTGTTCCTTTCCTCTCTATAGCAATGTCTGTGATTCTAGTTCAGGAATTACATTCCAATGTCACTTGTCAGCTTTTGAGATAAGTTTGGTCAGAACCTCTAAATTCAAAATTATTACTACAATCTATTATATGCCCTACTTGATTTTTCAATTAATGAATGCAAATTATGCATTAATAAATTGAATAATGTTACAACTTTTTAGGTCACCTGAGTAAACTCAGGTGACCTATTGCTATCCGTTTTCGTCCGTCGTCGTCCGTCGTGTGTCGTGTGTTGTGTGTCGTGTGTCGTGTGTTAACATTTGAACATTTTCAGCTTCTTCTCTGCAACCACTGAACCAATTTCAACCAAATTTGGCACAAAGCATCTATGGGTGAAGGGGAACGAAAATTGTGAATTTCATGATCCCTGCCCCCCTGGGGCCTGAGGGGTGGGGCCAAAACCACTAAAATTAATGCAATCTTTAAAAATCTTCTTCTTTACTCCTGGACATCAAGCAGTCAAAGTATTTGCATGATTGTAATCAGCATTGAGTCCTCTACCAAAATTGTGAAATTCATGGCCCTGGGGTCAGGGGTTCTAGTGCTAGGACGGGGCTAAATAAGTATATAGTGAAAATGCATTATTTCTTTGAAAATCTTCTTCTCTGCTTCTGGGTATTAAATAAACCAACTAAGTACATAGTTATGATGAGCAAGAGTGCCTCTACCAAAATTGTGAATTTTATGGCCCCAGGGTCAGGGGTTCTGGTGTTAGGGTGGGGCTCTATTGATTATATAGTAAAAATACATGATTTCTTTGAAAATCTTCTTCTCTGCCCCTGGGTATTAAATAAACCAAGTAAGTAAATAATTATGATGAGCAAGAGTGCCTCTACAAAAATTGTGAATTTTATGGCCCCAGGGTCAAGGGTTCTGGTGTTGGGGGGGGGGGGCTCTATTGATTATATAGTGAAATTACATGAATTCTTTGAAAATCTTCTTCTCTGCTCCTAGGTATTAAATAAACTAACTAAGTGCCTAGTTATGATGAGCAAGAGTGCCTCTACAAAAATTGTGAATTTTATGGCCCCAGCATCAATGGTTCTGGTGGGGGGGGGGGACTTTATTGTTTATAAAGTGAAAATACATGAATTCTTTGAAAATCTTCTTCTCTGCTCCTAGGTATTAAATAAACTAACTAAGTACATAGTTATGATAAGCAAGTGTTCCTCAACCAAGATTGTGAATTTTATGGCCCCAGGGTCAAGGGTTCTGGTGTGTGTGTGTTTTTGGGGGGGGCTCTATTGATTATATAGTGAAAATATGTGAATTCCTTGAAAATCCTCTTCTCTGCTCCTAGGTATTATATAAACTAACTAAGTGCATAGTTATGATGAGCAAGTGTGCCTCAACCAAAATTGTGAATTTAATGGCCCTATCATCAAGGGTTCTGGTGTTGGGGGGGGGGGGCTTTATTGATTATATAGTGAAATTACATAAATTCTTTGAAAATCTTCTTCTCTGCTCCTAGGTATTAAATAAATTAACTAAGTGCATAGTGATGATGAGCAAGAGTGCCTCAACCAAAATTGTGAATTTTATGGCCCCAGGGTCAAGGGTTATGGTTTGGGGGGGGGCTCTATTGATCATATGGTGAAAATACATGAATTCTTTGAAAATCTTCTTCTCTGCTCCTAGGTATTAAATAAACTAACTAAGTGCATAGTTATGATGAGCAAGAGTGCCTCTACAAAAATTGTGAATTTTATGGCCCCGGCGTCAATGGTTCTGGTGGTGGGGGGGGGGGGGCTTTATTGATTATAAAGTTAAAATAAATGAATTCTTTTAAAATCTACTTAACTCCGCCTAGTTATTAAATTAACAAAGTAAGTGCATAGTTATGATGAGCAAGAATGCCTCTTCTAAAATTATGAATTTCATTGCCCCAGGGTCTGGGGTTCCGTGTTAGGGTGGGGCTCTATTGATTATATAGTGAAAATACATTGTACATTAAATCTTTGAAAATTTTCTTCTCTGTCTCTGGGTATGAAGCAGATGAACTACCTATATAGTTATGATGAACAAGGGCCCTAATCTTGCAGAATTGTGAATTTCAAGGCCCCAGGGTCAGGGGTGGGGGGGTGGGGGGCTCTACTTATATACTGAAAATGAATTAATTGTTTGAAATCTGGTCCTTTGTATTTATAAAACATTTATTTACTTTTTGATAGGCAATTTTAAGGGTGCCTTTTAAAAATTTGTGCAACCTAGGGTCAGGGGTTTATGTGAGAGTGTTAGGGGCACTACTGATATTGATTAATATTACTGATTAGTTGGAGTGCATTTTTGTTCCCCTACCCTGCTTATGGGTATTCAGTAACCAAGCTAAGCAACTGCTAAGTTTATTGTTATGATGATCAATGGTGCCCTTTCAAAATTGTGAATGCCATATAGCATCTGGCTTAAAACATGAATCAAATTCAATACACTGTAACTGGAAAGTTGTTGCATAATGCTCAGGTGACCTATAAGGCCTGTGGGCCTCTTGTTTATAATTTAATTTGATTCATGTTTTAAACGACTTTGAAAAACGGGTATACTTTGAAGATCTGTAATAATTACATCATTATCAGATATTATGCGTCTTGTAAAAGTAACAAGGTAATTGAGAAACTGTCGATGTTTTATGCGTTAATTAGGATTACCGTATTTGGCTGAGTATAACACGCATTGATGTAAAATACGCACCCCCCTTTTTGAGTCTGAAACTGGGGAAAAAAACGCAGTTCGGATGTATTATCCGCAACAGAAAACTTTACCAAGCCATGTTCTGAACTTTGAAAATCACGGTAATTTGTTACAAAAATCGGCAGAGGATTAAGTGCCAAAAATTTACTGAACACACTTTTTTAAAAATACACACTTTATAACTTTCTCTTAATCCTGACATTCCATATCGCGGCAATCTGGAGAAAATTATTTATTCATTTATTTCAACAAAGCACAAGATAATGTTGCGTAAAAGTATGAACAGAATTTTTTTTAAGCATAGTTACGGTGATTTTCAAATTATGCGTCGTCATATTCTTAGGGGAAATAATTTTATTTCAGCAAAGCATGAGATATTGTTGAAAGTTTTAACAGTTGTCATATTTAATTTTGGTTCTAGGTAATCATGCTGAAAATTATATTACAATACTTTAACAGGGCACGAAATTGAATCATCAAAGTATTTATTTAATTAAGAAGACTACGATTTTCCTATTCTGAATCTTCCCGGATATCTTATTTTCTAAAGAGCACGAATAAATGATAACACTGAAGTTTTAGCATAATTCATATTTCATTTGTCAACTCTCAATCATTTAAACAAGAGGCCGATAAGTATAAGATAAGGTAAAATTACATTTAACAAGTTTTTAATTGTTTAATGTGTCGTAATCAACACATGCTCACACATAGGAAAGGTCATAAACCGACCCCAATTTTTAACAAAGAAAATAATCAAAGCAATTAACAGGACAGTAAATAATCAGTGCTCTAACTGTAAAAACATTGCTTTGGAGTCGGTAGACAATTAATTGCCCGGATGGGTGATATGTAATTATCATTTGACCAGCGCACGTGTGTCACAACATTAGCTTCCTTGCATTGGGACGTATGGAGGGGTGTTTATGTTGCAGCAGATTTTCATTGTTTTATTTAAAATAAATTGTTATTTTATTGTATTTCATTAAAAAATGACTTATTACTTTGTCTGGCAGATAAGGTGCATACATGTGCCCTATCATTACGGAAGCACGTGACACAGGCACAAGTGAACGTCTAAAAATAACATCTGTAATGGCGGCCTACTCGGAGACAATCAACATGCAGCTCAAATTACTTTTAACTTGCTTTTTTATGTTATTTTAGTATCAAAAGATTATGAAAGTGACATTTTTAACAAGCATACCTTCCAACAATAATTTTCCAAAGTTTAAAATCTAGCGATAAACAAAAGAAATTGCATATGTCTCTATTAAAGGAATACTACGGTATGTATGTATGATAGCCGTGTTTCACCTGAAAGAAAAACTTATTAAAATCCCATTATGATGTAAAATACGCATCCCTTTCTCACAGAAACTTATTTTAGGAAAAAGGTGCGTATTATATTCCCCCAAATACGGTTACTTGTTTGATCCTAATTTATGATCAATTTAAAAGTGCTAAAAAATACCAACAGTACTAATTCTAGCCTGAAGGTATTGAGTTAAATGGCATTTATAGCCGATACTATCATACATACGATGTTGAAAATTTAGGCCAGGCGTTTTTTTTTACTTTTGTGAAATTTTAAGCGTTTAAATTTTACGGATTTATAGAACTCGTAAAAATTAGCAGCACATAAAAAATACCCGTTATACGGTATTTAATGCCCAGGAGAAGAAAAGAAGATTTTCAAAGAAATAATGCATTTTCACTAGTATATAATCTATTTAGCCCCACCCTAACACTGGAACCCCTGACCCAGGGGCCATGAATTTCACAATTACGGTAGAGGACTCAATGCTGATTACAATCATGCCAACATTTTGACTGCTTGATGTCCAGGACTAAAGAAGAAGATTTTTAAAGATTGCATTAATTCTAGTGGTTTGGCCCCACCCCTCAGGCCCCAGGGGGAGGGGGGAGCAAGGGCCATGGAATTCACAATTTTCATTCCTCTTCACTCATAAATGCCATATTTGGTTGAAATTGGATAAGTGGTTTAAAGAAGAAGCTGAAAATGTTCAAATGTTAACACACAAGGCGCACCGCACGACAACGGACAAAAACGGATTGCAATAGGTCACCTGAATTTACTAATTAAAAGCAATATAAAAAGCAATATAGGCCTTGCTGTTCTTGAAAAGATTTTTCCTGTATACTCCTCTTAATGTTTTGCTCATCCTTTGAGGCTCCACTCTACCCCCCAGGTGTTACGATTTGAACAAATTTGAATTTACACTACCTCAAGATGCTTCCATATAAATATGACCAATCATGGCTTTGCTTTTCTTCCCCCTATATTTTCCTTTCTGAAATTTTGATAATCTTTTGTGGTCCACCCCTTTTTTTTTTCCTTTCAAAGTTTTGCTATGTAAGATGTCCAAATGTTTCAAAATAATCCTGAAATAGGTTTTCTATCATTTATCCTGCTTAGATACATAGCTGGCTGCTGCAGTT